CACATACTGGTATCTTCACAAAGAACTGTTACAGGAGCTCCTGGAGCTGAACTCCGGCCTGCTCGTCTCGTACAACCTCTCTGCTTCGGTACGAAACGCCGCTCACGAAGAAGTGACGCGAGCAGATCTGAAGATTCGAGTGCATTCAACTAAACGGCACTCTTCTCAAATAAACATCTATGAAGTTGATGAGAAGCATCCGGAGGTACTTCGTGTAGAGAGAATCTTCAAAAACCGAAAAATCAATTATCGATTGCAGATACGGAGGTTAATTGACACAAAGTCGATCGTCGCTCTCAATGCAACACGACAAAGTCAGTGGTTTGACTTCGATGTCACATCAGCGTTTCAATCGCCACGTAGCGATCACGATACGGTAAGTGTTACGGTAGGCGCTGAAAAGGTCACGGATAGACTTGAACACATGAGAAAGAGAGTCGTGATATTCTGCGTCTCTGTCTCGCGTCTGTCTACGTCTAATACCAAACACGTGGGTTTATTTAGCCCACCAATTGTTGAAGCGACTGCAACTGGTGGAAATTGAGCTCCGTGAAATTCCAGCCCCTTGACATGCCCCAGCTTCCGCAATGAAGACTGTACCACCAGCATGGTCTGAGTCAAAACTTCAAATCATCCCCCTATCTCAGGCCAGAGAAGACGTCCTTACTAGGTTTTACGTAGTCTTAAACAGATTTGCTTGGGAGTATAGAGACACTGAGTTTTATCATGACAGATGGCTTTTGAGAGTAGTTTTACAGTCCAGACTGACTTTAAACTGAATTTAGGAACCCGAAAACGAAAAAGAAAACGTTTAGCCAGGAAGATCGAAGAAATCGATAATCCTAACAGATATCCCACAGTCTATGGATCGATTGAGGCGCGCGCGAATCGGACACCTAGCGATGGAGTGGATATGTTGGAACGGCGCAGTTCGCGAAGGGGGGAGGGGGGGGGGCATTTGCACTTTTGCTACTTCCCATCGACGTGTCGACCTATCTAGACAGCCTCTTCTCGAGTTGACAGGTTTTACCATGATGGCTTGACGACCTTGCTCCAGCTTCACAAGAGTTCACAGGTTTCGCCAGAGTGAGACTTGTAAACCGGAACTAGGGAAGCAATGATAGTACAAAATGCCCCCCCCCCCGTTGCCGAACTGTGCCGGTGGGAACGTATATCACGCGGACACTGCCCTCAGGTTATGTGGCATAGTAGTCGGAAGTGCCTAAAACTCAAGAAACGAAGCCAAGTGCGCGGAGTACGGTAGGAGCGATTCCTCAGACTGTAAAATATTTCTATGCCAGAAATAATTCGCATAACAGTAACTAGGAAATTCTGTAAATGAAGAAATCAGCGCGTCGCATTTACAGTATGCTACCGTACCGAATTTCAGGTTGTCTTCCTTATCGAACATCCGGATATCGTCATTCTACACTTCTGAAGCCACATTCCATGTCTGCCGTTCCTTTCACTCGGCATCAAAGTTTTCCTCTCATTGTCTACAGGTATGGTTGCTAGTTTCCTGTTCTGCCTGTAATAGTTGGTCCTACAGCGAAGCTTTGTTTTCATTCCGAGCACCGTGAATTTTTCAATTTAATGGAACGCATACAAGCTTGAGGACATAATGCCCTCAGAGTTACAGTTCCTTCAAAACATTGCTGATACTTTGAGCCGCCAAAGAACGAATGATGTGCTGTTTATTTACCTTCCGTGAAAGATTACATGTACATGTCCTAATTCTCTGTTTGCAGCGCCCTCAAGGAGCCATCGCGAGTGCGACGAAAACGTGCCGCGACACCACCGCGTCGCGAACGAAAGAAGCAACGCAAGCAACATCATCGTAACGGGACCGACAGCGGTATTTGCCAGAAAAAGGCGCTTTACGTGGATTTTGAGGAAATCGGTTGGCAAGAGTGGATTTTGGCACCAAGTGAGTTGGAATTCAAAGCACATCTTACTCGATTCTCATTATTGGTTGCTTTACGAAAGATGGGTCCATCATTAATGCTGTGTGCCACCGAGAGGACTTTAGAATCGGAAAGTTCCATGCTGGGGGAGCGAAACCCCCCTGGATTTATAAATGAGTTTAGAGCGAGAGATAAAGCTCTGAAGCACATCCCAAGGGCCCTTCGGCTGGAAAGTCGTGTCGTGCTGAAAAGCTGGCCAGCTCCTCGCTTTTCTGGCATTAAAGGCACAATCCATGCTAATCGTGTGGGTGGAGACATTCAATCAGTGTGCTCCAACTACTGGTGCACCCCAGGAGTGCCGCTAACGACAATCCCAATTACGGTACAATTGATATTTTTACAGTGAGAAAATAGGAAGAAAACTGGAGTACTGACTACTGAAGGGCTCACCTGGGAAAAAACCGGGGCATCTCACAGCGTCTCCACTCTTTCACTATGGAAGGAGCACATTGAAAGCAATGCTAAGCATTGCTCCGCCCAGAAGACGAGTGCGGAAGGTACAGAAATCAAAAGAGCATTTTGCGATTAGTTGAAGAATCTTCAGTGCAGAGGAACTGTGTGCCCGGGCAAAGAACTATATTTGTCTCATTTTCAGAAAGCTATGAAGCAGGCCAGTGCGTTGGTGTCTGTCCACATCCCTTGCCAGCACATTTAAATGCGACTAATCATGCTATTGTGCAGTCATTAACGAACTCACTCAATCCACAGGTAACTGTTGTGCACCTTATCATTTCCTCTTCTTTTGTCCCATCGGCAAACAGTCTTTTCTCTCACTTTATTGTGATTTAAAGACACATTCTGCGCTTACCTGACAGGTAGAATCCCTCTACACTGGTCTTTAGAAGGGAGGCTACACCATTTTCGCAGCTCACCGATGAGTGACAAGATGGCAGTTATGAGCCGAAGAGGTGCCGCCCGTAGAAGATGCTCCACCCAGCTGTGGACGATGTAGCGCAGAATATGCCAGCGTTCCTATATCTACAACAATAACTGTGACGCGTTGCCTCCATTCTGACCCAGTATGATCCTGTCCTTTCGCCCGCGCCGCAGTGTCTCGCATCCTCGAATACTCGTCCAATCCTGTGGCCTTAAGTTGTGGATTCTACGAGAAAATGTCCACCTTTTCTTCATTGGTAAGCGGATAGGAGTGTACCAATTCATATCTTGACCCCATAGCTCACAAGATACAATTCGTGAGATGCACCTTTCTTTTCATTATTTCTGTATCGCCTTCTTTTTCAATTATGTTGATCGAAAACTCAGTCGACGCGAATTCATTCAGATTCCACCACCATGTTGTGTACCAACTGAAACACACATC